CCTCCGTGGGCCTCGCCGCGCGCACGCGATCACGTGACAGGCGCCGCGGCCCCACGCCGCCTGTCTGCGGCGGCTGAGACCTGAGGAGCACGGTTCGAAGCCAGCCCGGGCAGGAAAGTCCGTGAGACTCTGATCTGCAATGACCCACTCAGAAAACCGGAAGTGGCGCTGTGGCTCAGTGGTAGAGCGCTGGCCTTGCATGCATGAGGCCATGGGTTCGATTCCTCAGCACCCCAGAAGCCCAGAAGTGGCGCTGTGGCTCAAGTGGTAGAGCGCTCGCCTTGAGCTGAAGAGCTGAGGGACAGCCCAGGCCCAGAGTTCAAGACCCACCACCGACAAAAGAAAAACTCGGAGCGGAGGCGCTGGCTTCACCCCCGTGGTCACTTGCCCGGCTTGTCTTGCTGCTGAGCTCTGGCAGGCGCTAGTGATCAATCCCATCCCTTTTTGGTGGCTGACACACACACACACATCATCTTTTCTTCCCCGAGACTCTCAGCTTCCGTGCTTTAGAAATTAAAGTTATTGTGGAGTCAGTTTGGGGGTGGGGGGGTGGGGGGGTGAGTTTTGACGTGCAGAGCCACCTAGTGGAAAGACGTGGCATTGAACTCGCTTGTTCATTCCAAGGGGATGGTGGAGTCCGTTTTGAGATTTCCTAGAAGAAATTTAACATAGCTGGGTGGCAGTGGGGCACTAGTGGCTCACATCTGTCATCCTAACTACCCAGGAGGCTGAGATCTGAGGATTGTGGTTCAAAGCCAGGCCCGGGTAGAAATGTCTGTGGGACTCATAGCTCCAAGGAACCACCAAAAAGCTGGAAGTGGTGCTGTGAGTCAAGTGGTAGAGTTCCAGCCCTTGCCTTGAGCACCCAGGCACCTTTAAAACAAGGACTGGCACATCAAAGGTGCCGGTTAGAGCTCACTTGAAGTTTCCTAAAAGGAACTGAAAAGATAATGGTAGAAGATAAGCCCTTTGCTCTATTGCCCTGAAGGTGGACAATATCTGGCTTGTCTTGAGACCTAAGATGCTAGTGACCAAGTAGAATTATTCCCTCAGGGAAGGAATGAATAAACAGACTTGGTTTGAGGGCTGCTATGTGCTAGGTAGGCTAGCTCTGGGGGTCTTAAACATTTTAGAAAATCTTGGCAGGTAGGTTCAGTAATATACCCACTATAGACAAGGTGACTGGAATTCAGAGAGGCCAAGTTGGTTCACACTGTAGGTCTTGTGTAGATTACTGCAACGGCTCCAGCTGAGGGTAGGCCTTCTACCAGAGAGACTGTCAGGTAGACAGAGTGGCTTGGCTCCATTTCTATCTGAGTCCTGCTACTGACACCTTTGAGGAGCCCTGCCTGCTTTTGATCTCAGTGGGAATGTTTGTGGCCCAGCAGGAGACAGACAGCTGCTGCATAATCCACTGAGCCTTCAGTGCTTGCCTTTGTAGCTACATTGGTACGGATCAAAGGCAGTTTTCTGTTTCTTTTCTACAGTTTTCCCAGTTGGTGTTTTTGTGGGGGTGGGTGGGGACTTGAACTTGATAGCTAATGCTTTCACTCATTGGCAGGTGCTCTATCAACTGAGCCATGCCTCCAACCCGAGTTGACTTAGAAGTATTTAAGTATATCCAAGTATATCTAAATATAAAAGTGTAATACATCAAGATACAAATATGTTTATATAAAGCATGAAGTTTAGTGAACATTTTAGATTATTTCACCAGGTAGGTTATTTCACACACACCAGGTGTGTGTGTATGGGTGTGCGTGTGTGTGAGTGTGTGTGCGCCAGTCCTAGGGCTTGAACTCAGGGCCTGGGCCCTGTGCCTCAGCTCTTCAGCTCAAGGTGAGAGCTCTACCACTTGAGCCACAGCACCGCTTCTGGCTTTTTCTGATAAGCTGAGGAATCAAACCCAGGACCTCATGCATTCGAGGCAAGCAGTCTACCACTGAGCCACCTTCCCATCCTCTCCCCCCCCACCCCCAAGCTTCTTTTTGCTCAAGGCTAGCACTCTACCACTAGAGCCACAGCACCACTTCCAGCTTTTTCAGTTTATGTGGAATTGAACTGAGGAATTGAACCCAGGTCTTAATACATGGTAGGCATGTACTCTACCATTAAGCCACCTTCCCTGTCCCTCTGTGACATTTTTTCTAATGACTAGTTCTTAACAGCAATTTTTCTTTTTTTTTAGTGTGTGTGTGCGTGTTTGTGTTTGTTTGCGTGTGTGCACGTACATGTGTGCTGCTGGTATTGGGGCTTGAACTCAGGGCGTTATGTTTATACTTGCCTTTTCCTGCCCAAGACTGGTGCTCTTCCACTTGAGCCATACCTCTCCTTTCATCCTTTTGCTAGTTCATTGGAGATAAAGATCTCAAGGACTTTTCTACCTAAGCTGGCTTTGAACCTCGATCTTCACATCTCAGCCTCCTGAAGAGCTAGGACAAAAGGTGTGAGCTGTTGACATCTGGATCTACATCTTGTCTTCAGATGAAAGTTATGTATTGTTGGGGCCGGGAAGGTGGCTCAGTGGTAGAGCGCTTGCCTTGCATGCCTGAGGCCCTGGGTTCGATTCCTCAGCACTACATAAGCAAAAAAAAAAAAAGAAAAGAAAGTTATGTATTGTTTAAAGAGTTCAAGCCTTAGCTGGGTACTCGTGCTTTACACCTTTCATCCTAGCTACTCAGAGGAGCTGAGGATCAAAGTTTGAAGCCAGTCTGGGCATCAAAGTCTCTAAGGCTCTTTGGTGAAAAAAAACCAGAAGTGGAGACATGGCTCAAGTGGTAAAGCACCACCCTTGAGAAAAAGAGAGCACAAAGCCCAGCACTGCCCCCTCCCCCCAAAAAAAACAACAACAAAAACAAGAGTTCAAACCTCTCCATTTTCAGATCTGAACTGTGGTGTCCTCATAGTCTGCAGATGTCCAGTGGCTGACAGCTGAGGAGAGGAACCAGGCTATGCTCCCTCTGAAAGCAGCAGGATGGTCGGAGTTAAGGGACAGAGACGCCATCTACAAGGAGTTCTCCTTCAGAAATTTTAATCAGGTAACTCAGGATTCTTGCGAGTGCCAATGCCTGTTTCTATTACCCAAAGTTGTCACTTTCTGATGCTCATGGTTGTTGGTTGTCTGGTCCCATTTGGAGCCAAGGTCCACATCACCCCCCCCCCCCTTTTTTTTTGTCTGTTATGGGTCTTGAACTCTGGGCCTGGACGCTGTTCCCTCAGCTCTTCAGCTTCAGGTGAGCGCTCTGACACTTGAGCCACAGCACCACTTCCCGTTTTTCTGGTGGTTCATTGGAGATCAGAGTCTCATGGGCTTTCCTGACCAGGCTGGCTTTGAACTGGGATCCTCAGATTTCAGCCTTCTGAGTAGCTAGCATGATAGGCGTGAGCCATCGGCACCCAGCCGACACAGCCCCCCTTTCTTAAGAGTCCAGTGATGGGGTTGGGAGAGCATGCTTATGGATAGCTGGATAGCTGCTCCTGCCCCACTGGGCAGGTCTCAGCGCTGGGGGAGGGGAAGCTTGGGTTACTTGTAAAGTCAGATTTTGAATCCACCATTGCTTTGATGTGGTATTATTCAAATATTTAAATAACATTTAAATAACATTTAAATAACATTAAAAGAAGGTGTGAAGCCGGGGCGCAGTAGCTCACGTCTGTAAGTCTAGCTACGCAGGAGGCTGAGATCTGAGGATTGCGGTTCAAAGCCAGCCCGGGCAGAAAAGTCCAGGAGACTTTTATCTCCAATAAACCACTAGAAAACTGGAAGTGGTGCTGTGACTCAAGTGGTAGAGCACTCGCCTTGAGCTGAAGAGAGCAAGGACAGCGCCCAGGCCCAGAGTTCAAGCCCCATGACCAACCAAAAAAAAAAAAAAAAAAAAGGTTTGAGTTTTGTTTTTTTTAAATCTATCAGAGGGGACATAAATGAAGCCATTTGAGAAGCACACACCTGCTTGCCTGATTTCCTCCTTTTTTTTTTCTTTTCCTGAGCAGTTTAGTAAGTATTTTATCTTCCTATAGTTGTATATCTGCTTATAAATCATCTTGTAAGCTTTATCTTCTTCCTAGTGCCCTTCCTTTTCCTAAGCCCAGTAGTCAGCCCTTGAAGCTTTTCTTAAAAACCTGACCTCCCCTTTTGGAGACTCAGCCTTTACTAAGCAACTTCCATTTGAGCCCAACCCCGTTTAGAGAGTCATCTCCCATGACTTAGCCCTTCAGTGATTACTCCACTGCGTTTACGTAAGGTAAATGCTTTTGGCTATTTCATGTTTGTTCAGTGAGTTCAGTAATCCTTTGGACAGATTTATTGTTTTTATTTATGGTAGGTGTCAGCCTTTCGGAATGAGACCATGTTTGCTTAAATGACCGTCCATTGTGCCTGGCACAGTTCTGGGTCCAAATGGGCATGTGATAAATGCGGACATTGATTGCAGTGTTTGCTAGTTTCCTACAGGGCGTGTGAGGACCAGATTTCCACTACCCAATCCCTTGGCCTGTTTTCCTAGTAAATGCCATGGGCTCCACTGTGCTGCCTGCCCCATTCTGTTCTCCATCCGTCTGGCTGCCAGCCATCTGCTGTGATTCCCCAACTGCAAAGGAAACCCGCACCGCGCAGACTCCCCGTCCCCGTTGCCCCACGCCGCTCGACAGCTCTTGTCAGAGGCTTAGCACCCTGTGGCTGGTGGCAGGGGATCCCCTTGGTACAGTAAGCTTTTGCATAGCTCTAGGTAGCATTTTCCAAGCTTATTAAAATTCTTACATGTGTACAGCTTGACTTCTTTAAGCCTGGGCTAATTTATTGGGCTTGAACATGTGGCTTAAAGTACTTGAGTGGTGTTGCCTCCAGGCTCTGCCCATGAGTCAGTCCTGCAGCACCAAGCTAGCCCGACGCTCCAGGCACCTTCAGAAACGGGAGCCGGGGAAGCTGAGCAGAGCTTCCTTGGTGAATTGTACTGTTCGTTACTCCCTGAGACATTGCATGACTCAGGCTTCTCCTTCCCTACCCCCCTGCCCCCGCTCGGCTTCCCCTTGAACCCAGCTTTTTAGAAGAAAGAGGCAGCTGCTGAGAAAATCAGTTGGCAGCAGGGAAAAATCTCAGAGAAGCAGCACGAGATGCTGACTTGCAGTTTTCTCTTTTCCTTTTAGTTTTGGGTTGGTCCTGGGGCTTGTACTCAGGGCCTGGGCTTGTCCCTGAGCTCTATTTTGCTCAAGGTTAGTGCTCTGATCATTTGGGCCACAGCTCCACTTGTGGCTTTTTTGGTGGATCATTGGAGATAAGAGTCTCACGGTCTTTCCTGCCTGGTCTGTCTTTGAACCTCAGTCCTCAGCTCACAGGCTCCTGAGTGGCTAGGATGACAGGAGTCTGTTTTCTTGCAGGTTCCTGTGATTTCTGCTCATGCAGCGGCACTGTTACTGTGAGGACAGTGGTAGCCCTCTGGCTTATGGTGACCAGGACACACCTGTAGTTACAAGTTGGGCTCATTGCTGTGAGGGAGCATCTCAGAAGAGTGTTGGGAAGACTTGTGATGGTTTGGGGCTCCAAGTTCTGAGGAATCCATGCTTTGCTTTGGATTCGACGTCAGGAAATAGGCAGTTCTAGGATTCAGCATTTTAATAAATCTTACTTATGCGGAGAATACACTAAAGTAGGTCAGAGCTGAAGTTGGGTGTGTGCGTGGGGGGAAAGCAGTAGCTACCAGCTGGGAAATATGATGTGGTAGTTTGTGGCTTGAACAAAGTTGGTGTTTGACCTGTATTCAGAAGTCATTATTAGAGCACTCTGCTTTTGTCCTGATTTATCTGCTGTGGGTGCTATGTGCAGAGTGAACCCCAGCTGGTATGGCCAGGGGCACCTGTAATCCAAGCCCCAGGGAGGCTGAGGCAGGAGGGTCACAAGCTTGAGCAAGTTTAAGGCTAGCCAGGGCTGCATTAACAAGTTGGAGGCTACCCTAAGCTACCTAGTCACACCCTGTCTCAAAAACCAAGCAAAGCCAGTTGCCCGTGGCTCACACCTATGATCCTAGCTACTCAGGAGGCTGAGATCTGAGGATTGCGGTTCAAAGCCAGCCCAGGCAGGAAAGTCCAAGACTCATCTCCAATGAACCACCAGAAAACCGGAAGTGGCACTATGGCTCAAGTGGTAGAGCGCTCGCCTTGAGCTGAAGAGCTGAGGGACAGCGCCCAGGCCCAGAGTTCAAGCCCCACGACAGGACTTTCTCTTTCCCTCCCCCCCCCCCCCCATGCCAAAACAAAATCAGAAAGGAGAGTGTAAAGGCCTGGTTTTGAGTTTTAGGTCAGCCCTCACACACCAGGAGCTGCTTCCCCCGACCCTATACTGGGGCTTGAACTCAAGGCCTCACGCTCACTTAGCTTTCGCAGAGCTGGTGCCCTACCATTTGAGTTGAGAGACAGTGGACACTATGGAGGTAGCAGCGGAATTGGAGAGAAATGTGGCGTGTCTCACGTAGTCTGCTGATAGGACTGAGGTGGTTTACATGCTCACGTGCGCGTGCGCACACACACACACACACACACACACACAGAGGCTGGCTGATGGATGAATGTCAGAGGAAGTAGTGTCAAGGGTGACCCCAAGATTTGGTTCAGGGTGTAGGGTGAAGGACGGTGCCTTTGATGCCACCTGTGGAGCTGTAAAGAGGGCAGGAGGAAGAAGAGGGTTAAGAATCCCATTTTGGACACATTAGGCTTGAAATGCTTCGTTGTCATCCAGGTGGAGAAATTGGGTGAGCTGGTGGCGGCCTACGTGTCCTCACCTGTTTGAGAATTGTCAGAGGGAAGTTGGGCATCATGGTGACACAAGTCTGAAATCTCAGCCATGGGGAGGCTGAGGTAGGAGGATTGTGAGCTGAAGGCCAGCTGGGGCTACATAGCAAGATCCTGCCTCACAGAAAAAAAGTCAAAACGAGTAATTGTGTGAACAGAGTTCTTTTTTTCTTTTTGGTCGGTCATGGGGCTTGAACTCGGCTTGGGCGCTGTCCCTCAGCTCTTCAGCTCAAGGCGAGCGCTCTACTGCTTGAGCTCCAACGCCACTTCTGGTTTTCTAGTGGTTATTTGAGATAAGAGTCTCACAGCCTTTCCTGCCCAGGCTGGCTTTGAACCGTGGTCCTCAAATCTCAGCCTCCTGAATAGCTAGGATTATAGGCATGAGCCACTGGTGCCCGGCAAACAGAGTTCTTTCCAAGAGAGGATAGGACTGAAATATAGTATGTCCTTTGTCATGAGAAAGAAGAGGGAGCCAATGGGTATGGAAGTAGACAGATTGGGAAGAACTTGATTGCTTCTGTTTTGTTTTTGTCCGTCCTGGGCTTGAACTCAGGGTCTGGGCGCTGTCCCTGAGCTCTTTTGCTCAAGACTGCCTCTTTACCACTTTGAGCCACAGTGTCACTTCAGGTTTTCTGGTGGTTCATTGAAGATAAGAGTCTCATGGACTTTCCTGTTCAGGCTGGCTTTGAACATCGATCCTCAGGTCTCAGCTTCCTGAGTAGCCAGGATTATAGACATGAGCCACTGAGGCCCAGCCTGCTTCTATTTTTTGAATGAAGCCTTCAGCTGAGAGCAGGTGGGTGTGGAAGGGGGCGTGGCCTTGGGGATCTGGAGCAATAGAGAGAGCAGTCATCTAGAGGTGAAGATGGTGGTCTGGGGCAGTGTGCTTGCGGCTAAGATGTTTGAACAGTTTGTGGGTTTAGTCTTGCCCCGTGCAGCTGCCTTGGCAGGGTTGGGCGGAGGTTTTAGGACTGGGTTGAAGGAGAGCTGGGCTTCTGCTGGGTGAGTGCTGTGGAGCAAGAGAATAGCGAAGGGGATGAGGGTGTGTGACAGAACGGTGACCTGTGGCCCCTCTGTGGGCAGAGGAGGGAAGGCTGCTACGGAGGAAGACAGGTGAAGAGGACCTGGGAATGTCATTCGAGCCAGTGTTTTTGGAGGCATCAATTGGGCAATGCCTGGTAACTTTTTGTTTTTAATTAAACACAGTGAGCTGAGGATCGAACTCAGGGCCTCACACAGACTAGGCAAGGACTCTTGT